TCAGTGGTTGAGCATCAACCTATGAATGAGGAGGTCATGGTTCAATGCCCAGTCAGGGCACATGCCCCGGTTGTAGCTTGGTCCCCAATAGGGGGTGTGCAGGAGGCAGCCAATTAATGATTCTCTCTCATCATTGGCATTTCTCTCTCTCCCTCTCCCTTCCTCTCTGAAATAAATATATTTTTAAAAGTTCTCTCTTATATAAAGGAGTTTATTGGCTGTGCCTTTATTCATTTTACTGGTTATTGTTGCTTTGTAAAAAGCCACCCTAAGTACTCATTTTTGTGTGCTCACAGATCCTGTGGGTCAGGAATTCAAAAAGAGTACAGTGGAGACAGTTCTGTGATGTCTTGGGCATCAGCTCGGAAGACTCAAAGGCTAGAGATGACTCAAAAGCTGGGGTTGAAATCAACTGGAGAGTATCTTCATTCATGTGCTTCATGTTTTTTCCTGATAATTGGCTTTGATCTCAGATGGTTTGTTGCCTGGAACATCTACATGTTTTCTCTCCACGTTGTCTCACTTCCGGGGGTAGTTTGGGCTTCCTCACAGTATGGGTGTTGGATTCTTAGAGCAAGTGTTCCAAATGAACCAGATAGCCAGGCTGGAGTGGCTCAGTGGTTGAGCATTGACCTATGAACCAGGAAGTCATGTTCGATTCCTGTTTAGGGCACATGCCCAGGCTGTGGGCTTAATCCCCAATAGAAATCATGCAAGAGGCAGCCAATCAATGATTCTTTCTCATCAATGTTTCTATCCCTCCCTCCCACTCTGAAGTCAATAATATATATACTAGAGGTCCCTTAGCCCAGCCTGTGCCCTCTCGCAGTCCAGGACCCCTGGGGGATATCCACCTGCCAGATTAGGTCCACTTCCCAGTGGATCGGGCCTATGCTGTCAGTCAGACATCACTCTGGCAGCCCAGGAGCCCTCGGGGGATGTCCAACTTCAGCTTAGGGGAGTGGGCCTAAACCGCAGTCAGACATCTTGAGCGCTGCTGAGGAGGCAGGAGAGGCTTCCACCATCTCTGCTGTGCTAGCAGCTGTCAGCCTGGCTTGTGGCTGAGTGGAGCTCCCTCTGTGGGAGCACACTGACCACCAGGGGGCAGCTCCTGCATTGAACATCTGCCCCTTGGTGGTCATGTGTGTCATAGCAACCAGTTGTTCCACCGTTAGGGTCAGGAGCAGTGGGATGGTGAGGGTGGCACCTTCCCCTGATCATTTGGTTGCCTCTTGCAGAGGGAGGCCAGACTGACGCTTAGGACATCCTCTGAGGGCTCCCAGACTGTGAGAGGGGACAGGCTGGGCTGAGGGACACACCCCTTCCAGTGCACAAATTTCATGCACCAGGCCTCTAGTATATATATGTGTGTGTGTGTGTGTGTGTGTGTGTGTGTGTGTGTGTATCTCCAGGGAGAAGCTATATTGGCTTTTATGACCTATCCACAATGATACTTATGCCAGAATCTATCTGCCATGATTCAAATGGAGGGATATACACCCCATCTCTTAATGGGAGGAATGTCACAATATTGTTGTGGAAAGATCATGTAAGATGAGAGATACTATCCTGGCCATCTTTGGAAAGTAAAACCTGTCACACCTGGACACCTGAGCACTACTAGAAAAAAAAATGTAACAAAAAGTAATTCATAATTCAAACTCCAACTGAATCCTTGATACTACCTGGTAATCCTACATCATTTCTCTGCTGAACTTGCTTCAACTTGGCAATGGTTATTTCATACCTCTGTTATCTCATACCTCTGTTATTTCATACATAGTGCCTATTCATACATAATAGGCACTATGTATGTCTCACCTAATACTCATTTCTCACCCCCTTTTCTCTCTCTCTGCCCTTTCCTAGCCTTTCTTGCATCTTTGTGACATAGTTCTGGTTAGTGAGATGTAAACAGAAACCAACTGGGGCGCTTCTGGGAATGCTCTTGCCTTGAAAAAGAGCTGATGCATGGAGCGGAGGCAGCCAGCCATACTGTGACCCTCAGGGAAAGTCCCTCAGTCCCCCCCCCCCCCCACATACCTCCTCTATTCTCCACAGATGACCTTCTCTCCTCCTTTACAGAAACATTTTTTTTAAAGAAACATTTTCTTTTTCTTTCTTTTTTTTTTTTTAATATATTTTATTGATTTTTTACAGAGAGGAAGGGAGAGAGATAGAGAGCTAGAAACGTCGATGAGAGAGAAACATCGACCAGCTGCCTCCTGCACACCTCCCACTGGGGATGTGCCTGCAACCAATGCACATGCCCTTGACCATAATCGAACCTGGGACCTTTCAGTCCGCAGACCGACGCTCTACCACTGAGCTAAACCGGTTTCGGGGAAAAAAAAAAAAAATTCTTCAGCTGGTCATTCTCTTTCTTGTGCTAACATAAGGAACATTCAAACCTGTAAAGAATTTTTGTGAGTGTATTTGAGCCAAACTGTTCATAATTGCCTGGAAGCATAATCTCAAGGTAAGTAGGTTACATGAACTCCTTCGGTGATCTATTAGGGAGAAAGCAAAGTGGGGAAACCTCTGGGATTGGATAAAAAGTAAAAGAATAGACACATACTTCTTTTACATAGGTGGGCACAGGATTAAATAATAACAAGATAACAATAACAATGGGGGAGTTTTTGTGCCCTGCCCCCTGGCCCCCTGGCGCATTGCTTGTGCCCTTGAGGGGTTCTGGAAAAAAGGGACAAGTTACGCTGGCATTCCACAGGTGTGTTATCTTAGATGCCAAAAGACAAGTAGGTTCAGTAAAGACCGAAGATACTGGGCTAAGACTTGACAACTCACTATAAACTTCTTTTTAATTAAAAGGTCTTAATTTCAGACCATCCTTTGTGGTTACTTTAGGTCTCTTAGTTTGCTAAGCCTCTACACCGGCCTTTCCTAAGTCAGGTTGTTAGCATGTGGCTCCTTGTCATCCACACTTGTCACCAAACCTACCTATTTACCTGCTTGCATGCCATCCCATTTCCTCCTTCCCTCCCATTATAACAGAAGAGGTGTCTGTTAACGAAAAACAAAACAAAACACTGAAACCTGTAAAGAATTTTTGTGAGTTTATTTGAGCCAAACTGTCAACATATGCCAGGAAGCAGAACCTCAAAGGATTGAGATAATGCTCGAAAGAATGGCAGGTTACATTTCTCTATTTATACATTGCAATCAAAGGAGGGACATAGGTGGGTTACATTAAATTAATTGGTGATGGAGTAAGGAGGCGGGAGAAAGCAAAGGGGTGGGTAACCTCTGGGATTGGGTAAAAAGTAAAATGACGGACAGGTACTTAGGTGAGTGCAGGAACAATTAACATTAAAACGAAGGAATTTGAGGCATCTGCCCTGGCGCCCACCACATTCCGGTTGTGCCCCAGGGGCTCCAGAAAAAGGGAAGTTACAAGTTAGCCAGACATCCCATAGATATGTTATCTTAGTGGTAAACAGGCAAATGGGCTCAGTAAAGAAGATCCTCGTGGATCTTTGGGAAAACATCGGCCCAGGAAATGACTACCCAACCATAACCTTTTTGTAGTTAAAATATTTAATTTTCATACCATCTTTTGTCGTCACTTTAGATCTCTGAGTTTGCAAGACTGCCATGCAGGCCTTCCCGAGCCGGTCAGGTTAGCATGTGGCTCTTTTCTTTCACAGGTCCCTACTCCATGGATGGATGAGGAGGGGAAAAACAGGGAGATTCCAGTCTTGCATCCATTTTCTCTTTCTCTTTCTGTTTTGGTTTTCTGACTCATCTCAAGTTCTGGGCCTCTATCACTCATCAGCTATGTGACCTAAACAGGACATTGAAATAACAATTATTTTATCCAGTGGATTCTAAGCCCAACAAAGGCACCTCACTAGTTGTTGGGGGCATGCCAGGGCTGGGAAAGAGCGCCCAAGTAGAGGAAACTACAAGGTAGGGGAAGGAAGCCTTCCTCGGAGGTGCTGAATCACCATGTGGCCGGGAGAGCAGAGGGTAGAAAGGGCTCGGGAGGCAAGGCTGGAGGAGAAGATGGGCCAGAGGTAGCCACGTTCTATAGACCAGGCTAATGATTCTGGTTTTAACCCTAAACCATTGGGACAGGAAGTGAATTAAGCCCTCTGGGCCTCAATCTTTACTTCGGAAAATATAATATGTCTTAGAACTATGTTCAGTTCTCAGTCTCCTATACTTGCTTCAGAGTTCCTTAAGGACTATATATATATATTTCTTTTTAAAAAAATATATATATTATTGATTTTTTTCAGAGAGGAAGAGAGAGGGATAGAAAGAAACATCGATGAGAAAGAATCATCGATCAGCTGCCTCTTGCACACCCCCTACTGGGGATGTCCCTGCAACCAAAGTACATGCCCTTGACCGGAATCAAACTTGGGACCTTTCAGTCCACAAGCCAATGCTCTAGCCACTGAGCCAAATAGGTTTCGGCTAAAATATATATATATTCTTGACGCATCTATGTAATCAGGGAAATAAATGCCTGTCGGGTGAATAAATGATACTGTGGCGTCCTCCACAGACCTAAGTCATTAAATCAACCCATTGATACTCTTCCTCTTCCCTCTTCTCCCTCCCTCTCCTCTCCCACAGCCCCGCCTATATTTTCCTGGCTTCCCGCCACCCTTCCCTTCCCGGTCCCGCCCCGCCCTTCCGCTGCGTCGCGAAGATGGAGCGGGCCGGGCGTGCTTTACGGCAGCCGGTTTGCGGCGGGGCGCGGGGGCCGGTGCGCTTGGCGGCAGGCCGCGGGGGGAGGCGCGCAGGCCGGCAGGCGGCAGACGGAGTCGCAGGCGGTGGCGGCGCCTGTGCTCGCTCGTCGGGGCGGGAGGGAGGGGATCGCGGAGCGTGTGTGAGGGAGGGAAAGAGCTCGCAGCGGAGCTCGCAGCCCGCGCCGCCGTCTCCCCGCAGCGCCAGCCAGGCCCCGCCGCCGCCCGCAGCCCCGCGCCGAGCCCGGGCCGAGCCGAGCCGAGCTGGATCAGGCCGGGGCCATGCTGCTCACCGTGTACTGTGTGCGGAGGGACCTCTCCGAGGTGACCTTTTCCCTCCAGGTCGACGCCGACTTCGAGCTGCACAACTTCCGCGCGCTGTGCGAGCTCGAGTCCGGCATCCCCGCGGCCGAGAGCCAGGTACGCCGGGCGGCGAGCGGGGCCTCCCCGGGGCGAGCCCTCCTCCCTCTCGGGGGCCTCACGCCTTCCTCTGCTGCCGGGGAAGCCTTGGGGGCGGGGAGCGGGATGGCCATTCCTCAGCTCGCCCCCGGAGGGAGCTGGGATCGGCGGCTGCCCCCACACACTCCTGGGGTGGGGTGGGTTGAGGTGGGATGGGGTGGGATGGGTGGGTGGGGTGAGGTGAGGTGCTCGGGGAGGAAGTGGAGAACGTGACCTCCGACGCCCCTGCTGCAGCCCGAGGGGCGCGTGGACTGCCGTGCGGCCCGCCCTCCCTTCTGGCTCTTGGGGCCCATTCTCCCTCTAATGGCCCCGGTCTGGGGTGTCGTTGTGGATCTAGGTAGGAAGAAGCCCTCGGTTTGCACATGAGTTCATACATCCTGCTTCCCCAACCAGAAATACCAGTTTGGGTCCCTGGTAGATAGGTTCATCTGCATTGAGGAGAGGGTTCCTGCTTAAGTAAACGTAATTTACCCTTAAATATATACCGATGTGCACTCTCAGCGAAGGGAAAAGTTTGGGACTGGCACTGCCTTGTCTTGAGGCCGTTAGAAATGCGTTTCCCTCTCCCCCTACCACATTGGTTTCCAGTTAAATTTCTTTAAGAACAAAAAACAGTTGTTAGTGCAGTTCAACCTGTTCGTGTCTCTGGTTTCTTCCCCGGTGGCCAAAATCCCTCTTTCAGGTCACAACGGAGAGTTTGGGTCCGTTCGAAGCTCGGTGCTTTACAAGGATATTTGCTTTTAAAATGGCTTGTGTTTCTCTGATTTGCATGTCTCAATCTCCTACCCTGCTGGGTAGAAGTTCAACTGCCCTTACATTTTAAATAAGCTAAAGCAATGTATTCCCAAAATGCTTTGGGGCTGCCACCAAACAGAATCGGGGACAGTAACACCGTGGCTTTCACGCTAACATTTAAATCTTGACTTGATAAGTCTAAATATTAAGGACATTGGAGAAGTTCTCCAAGGTCCCAGAAGGTAAATCTTGATTCCCCACTGCAGTTATGAAATAGTTACAAAAAAACTATTGCCCAACCTCTGCTCTGTGGTATCATAAACACATGGGTTAGTATTTTCTTGAGAAGTGAGTATGGTTCCTTAACACTGTGTGAATTTTAGAACTTTGGCAAAAAGCTGAAGATCAAAAAGAATTTATTTCGAGGCACAGTGTCACTCAAAAACGCATTCTGGTAAAAGCTACAAAGAAATTGGAGTGATGGTTTTTTTGTAACTTCTATAAGGACCCAGTTCCTGTCAATCAGTCCCTCAAGTGCAGAATAGGAAAGGACAGTTTAAAGAGGGAGGGAAATTTAACTATTACATTTTTAAAAAATATATATATATTTAATTAATTTTAGAGAGGGATAAAGAGTTAGAAACATCGATGAGAGAGAATCACCGATCAGCTGCCTCTTGCACACCCCCTACTGGGATGTGCCCGCAACCAAGGTACATGCCCTTGACTGGAATCGAACCTGGGACCTTTCAGTCCACAGGCTGACGCTCTATCCACTGAGCCAAACCGGTTTCGGCCTCTTACATTTTTGAAGTTGGTTTTAAAGCCCCACTGTTCTCCCTCGGGCTGTTGTATTACCCTGGTTATAATCACCAGCTGGTAGGGGAAATAAAATTAAAGTGTAAATTGATTTTGTTGTCATTAGGGCTTGGGAGAAGACATATGTGACAAAATTTAAATATAAAGGGCACAGGCTGAAAAACAATTGTATGGTTAAAACAGGCACCGTTTTCTGCCAGTTTAGAATATTAGGAATACCTTGCCAATTAAACAACTAGTCTTAACTCCAAATTCTTTCAGGTCACCATTTGGCATTTACTTCTATCCTAAGCCACATTAGCATATGGAGCCTGGGCTCCAACCAGTGTTAAGCCTGTATTACAGAGCTGTAAACAACTCCTGTTTTTCAAGTCTGTTCTGTCGGCCTTACTGTAACCTAACACAGTATCTATTTTAAGATGTCTGGTGGTCGGTTGTCTTTCAGTCGCTTGCCCATCAGGCAGGAACGGAATCCACCCTAGGCACTTGAGTCATTTCCTTTTCACCAAGTCATAATAGTAAACATTATGGCTTTTGCCCACAAATAGATCATCTTGGCTCCCTCAAAGTAACCCCACCTTTACCTCCCAGGATTCTCCCCTGGCACTCATCTTCCCTTCCTCCCTCTCCTTGTTCCAGTCTCCACCTCGTTCTTCTTATTTACCTTCTCCATTCTCACCCTTCACTTAAAAGGAATATATAAATATTTATATTCCTGGCTATTCTTTCCTGTCACTGTGTGTCCAGACCACTGATCTCCATACTTTTTTTTTTTTTAATCATGTATCTCTCTTGAGTAAAATGTTTTGAAACTTAATCTTTGTGATGTATGTAAAACATAAAATAAGTTCTATACCCAAACTAATGTTATAAGTGCATGTATATTGTATATGTTATAGCTGTAAACATCAATTACATATACATGAAGTAATATCTTCTGTGCCTGTTTATAATGTACAGAATAGAATTTAAAGAAGGATACAAATGAAATGGAAATTCTAATATTTTTCTGTTTTCTTTCTACATCCAAGTATTATCTTGCATTGAGGGTCACTGGTTTATAATTCAGTCTTTCACAACAATATCAGTTGTGCTTAAGCAAACACTCAGAAAAGGTGTTAATTTTTAATATCTAGTAGTTATAATGTGATGATAACAAATTTAGGATAGAAACCATCTCTACTTTACATGTGACTGAAGCTTAATGCAAGTGTGGGCTTGGAAGCCAGTCGTGGCTCTGCTTGATGCTTTGATGCAGACCTGGCTGGGCGAACTTCAAACAGTTATCTGAACTCAGCTTCCCTTTAATGTCTGTATTTTTGAAACACTGTTGTAATTTACCCCTGTAGGTGGCATGTGGTAAAGAGGGTGTGAAATGTGTAAGTACTCTCAAGTGAAAGACATTTAAATGCCAAATAATAGCAATAACTGTATGATCCTGGAAACTCAGCTCTGCACACAGCATGAGATGTGGTTTGTAAAATACTATTTTAAACCAGTGGAAACTGAAATTTTCTATTGTAGCTGGTTTGGGTATGTTTATTTTTGCAGTTAATTTTCATGTATTTTTCCCCCTTGATAAATACTATGTAGTCATTATAGAAAATTTGTAACAAAGAACACAATTACTAATTACCTCTTAACTTTTAAGATATTAATAACTGCAGTTTACTTTTTAATGTATTTTTTAAAATAACATTTCCTTCCCTTTATATATTTAAAGTGTGTTTTTTAAACATGGCCTAAACTGTATAAACAATAGCTTCAGCCAACACTACATTGTCAGCATTTTCCCATATAGTATAAACTAGAGGATTGGTGCATGAAATTCGTGCACTGGGAGGGGTTGGGGGAGTCCCCAGGCTGGCCTGTGCCTTCTCACAGTGTGGGAGCCCCGCAGTCCATCTCCCCCCAAAGAGGTAGGCCCCGTCCACCCATCCAGGGATCCTGGATGGATTGCCCCAAAGGGATAGGCCGGAGCCGGGAGGGTGGGGGGACTTTGGCCTCACCACATGGAGGCAGAGCTGCCAGGATCCCTGGCCTTGCCGCGGCTAGACACAGCCCCACCTAGACACAGCCCTGCCCACCCGTGTGCACACACGCAGCCTCCTGGTGATGAATTGTGAAGGCATGAGGGTGGGATGACCATTCACATATTAGCTCTTTATTATATAAGATTCTTCAAACTCATCCCTGTAATGGCTAAATGATATGTCATCATATTGATATACTACAATTTAATAATTTCTCTATGTCTGCATATTGGAATTGGGAGAAATTGGAAGCAGTCATGGGTAACATTTCCATGGATATCTATATACTTAAGGTTTTCTCTTCATTTCTGATTATTTTCTCAGGATAAATTCTTGGAATTGTCAGGGCTTTTGAAAGGCTTTGGTAACCGTTGCCAAGTTATCTTCCAGAGGGGTTGTAAGAGTCAAGCCACTCCTTGGAATAGTGTGTATAGATCACTCGGTATATAGTGGGTTTTCAGTTCATGGTAGGTACTATTAAGAAGCCATTCAGATGCGATCCCAAGGGTTTTGTGGCCAGTTTGTGGTCCTTAATGCTAGAAATAGTGTTATGATTTCTGTTCAGAGATCATAAAACATTTTACATCATCCTTAAAGGTCTTGGAATTGTATGAATTAGCTTATTGTTATATATTGGTTAGGATTAGAATCCAATCTCGGGTACCTCCTGGAGTGAGCACCAGCAGCGTGCCCCTTCTGCAGATGAAAACCTGTAGCTGTAGGAATTGTATGCCCTCATAACTGTCAAAACTTCCTTTTTTTTTTTTTTAACCATTTTTTTTTTTTTTTCAGAGAGGAAGGAAGGAGAGAGAGAACTATCTGCTTAACAATAACCCACAACCTTCAGACCAACTGAGAGAGAAATATCAATGAAGAGAGAGAATCATCCATCGGCTGCCCCTCCCATGCCCCCTGCTGGGGATCAAGACTGCAACCTGGGCATGTGCCCTTGGCCAGAATCTAACCCAGAACCCTTCAGTCCACAAGCTGACTCTCTATCCATTGAGCCAAACCAGATAGGGCTAGTCTAGTATTTTTAGGAAATTGGGACAGATAGCAATATCCCATTAGTGATTATCTGGGCCTTACCTGGTACATTTTTATTGTTAGATCAAGCTATCCTCCTTTAAAAAAGAAATTGTATGTCTTCTGAGGAAAGTCTATGCTAACTGAACAGTGGTGTGGTGTACAGTGTCTGAAATGGGCCCCCAAAGAGTGAGGACTTGGTAGTGTTCCTTGTCTGAGTTCAGGGCAGGGGATGCTTTGAACAGTGGATACTGCTTTGATTCTGCTGGTGAGTATAGGCCCTTAATGGTGGTAGATGGCTTAGTAGTTCCTGTTAAGGTCACCCAGCTAATCTATATATATAAAAGCCTAAGTGACTAGCTGACCATTTGACTGTTGGACCCATAGCTTGACCCACACTGACCACAAGGGGGAAGACGCTCAACGCAGGAGCTATCGAACTGGTGATTTGGCAGCTGTGGTTCTCAGGTGACACACCTGGAACCAGAGAGAGGGAGCCTGATTTTGGGATGCGTCACCTGAGAACTGCCCTCTCACAATCCAGGACTTCTCGGGGGGTGTCAGAGAGTCAGTTTCAGCCCGATCCCCGCAGGCCAGGCCGAGGGACCCCACCAGTGCATGAGTCTGTGCACCAGGCCTCTAGTTTACCAGAACACTTTGGACTTATGTGTAGGAAAGTTGTGTGTGGTTCTGAGAATTCCTGCGTGTGGACTTTAGAGTCAGGCTGATGTGGTTCCACTCCCAGTTCTCCTTGATAGCTATGTAACCTCAGGTCACTCATCTGTTTCCCTGTCCATAAAATAGGACAAATAGGCAGTGCCCTCGGCGGTCCTGGATCTGTCTCTTGCTTCAACAGGGTTTGGACGGACAGACCTAGGGACGCCCCTTCTTCCAGCCTCCAACCACTCTCCTGTGTCTTATCCAGTCACCACCTTCAGAAACACCTCCGGGACCAGCCAACACAACAGGGTTTTTTTCTACCTTCACTCCTTATTACTGAACAACTATGAGCTCCCAGATTTGTTAGAATTATTCCACCAAGGTGGAGGTTGCGCTCAACATCCTGGCCAACCTGCATCTGCGGACCTCCTACACCTTCCTGTCTCTGGGCTACTGTTTCGACCGCGATGATGTGGCTCTCGAGGGTGTGGCCAATTCTTTCGCGAGTTGGCGGAGAAGAAGAGCGAGCATCTCTTAAAGTTGCAAAACAAGCATGGCGGCCGCATTCTCTTCCAGGACATGCCGAGGCTTTCCCAAGATGAGTGGGCAAAACTCAGGATGCCATGGAAGCCGCCCTGGCCTTGGAGAGGAACCTGAACCAGGCCTTGTGGAGCTGCAGGCCCTGGGTTCTACCCGTGCAGCCCCTCAGCTCTGTGACTTCCTGGAGAACCACTTCCGGGATGAGGAGGTGAAACTGATCAAGATCGGTGACCACCGACTCACCTCCAGGCTGGCCGGCCCCAGGCTGGGCTGGGCGAGTGTGTCTTTGAAAGGCTCACCCTCAAGCACGACCAGGAGCCTTTGGAGCCCAGAGGCCTTTGAGGGGCCCCTCTTCATCCCTCTGGTGCCTGGCCTTTGCCTGAGCTTCTCCCCGAAACTACTAGTCATTCTTTTAACCACCCTGGAGCCCACTCTCATTCATTGGACCAAGTGGGGGAAAAAAGCTTTTTGCAGGGGGAAAAAAAGGGATGGCGGACAAATAATACCTGCTTCTTAGGATGATTATAAGATTCAAATGAAAGGATATGAGGATTATGCGGGCGACTAAGAACCTGGTACGACGCTGGCTCTTCGTGGAAGTTCTCAGTGGTAGCTGTCTGTCTACTCTTTAATAAATAAGGCTTTCCATGTGTCACTTCCAGCCTGAAGAGAACTCTGTGGTCCTGGGGATGGGAGCATTCTGACTCCTGGTTTTGAGTCCTTGTAGATAATTAAATGTTCTCTTATTAGAATATGTCGACAGATTATGTATCTCTAAATATACTGATGGATGAACTTGTGAACCTGGAAAACTAAGCAGTAAGCCTTGGGCCCACTGGTACCTTCACTGTGTGGTTTCATAATGTTGGCGCCACCTCATGAGTGTCTGCACAGCCTTACTCTTAGCACGCCCCTTCTTTCTGGCTGTGCCCTTCAGCCTGGGACACTGGTCTCATCAGGCTTATGGTGGTTTTTTCAAGCAATCCTCCAAGTTACAGAATGACTTGGGTTGTATTGCAAACAATCTGTTGATTTCGGTGTGCTTTTTATTGTGAGATACGCACTTAAATAAGGGAGTGTGACTAGGTTGATGGTGACAGTTGCAATCTGTTGTACCATGTTTTAAGTTGGCAGGTAAGGGGAACTAACGATACTTTTCTAGTTATGTTTAAAACTTACAAAGTATAATTGGACTTACAAACTCTGCAAATCCATTTTTTGCTCATCCCCAGAACTTTCTTACGTTGGAGGGAGCTACCTTCAGTTTCCTATTATGTTCCTCATTTCAGTGTAAATTGTGAGAGCAAATAGGACAGATCATGTTTCTCTTGTGTAAATCCTGGGTGTTTCAGGTTCTGTGTCAGGCAGTCTTTGCTGTAAGAGTTGTGAGGACACGTGAGGAGACACTGTAAATAGGAGTGCAGCAGAGAGGCCCGGAAGAGACGGCTGTAATGATGATCCAGCCCCACTGCCTGCCGAACAGATGAGAAGTGAGGTGCCTGGACCAGCTGAGTGATGGGCCCCGGTCGGTTGGAGCCAGGACAGAACTGAAGCCTCTCTTTGCCTGTGGCCTGTGAAAAGGGAATTGTTAGGAAGAAAACCTTTCAAAGTCTGAATGTCCCTCTGGAGCAGAGTGATACAGGGAGGTTTTATGTTCCTTCCCGGGAAACTTATAGCTTGCTCTCTGTGTTCCTGCTTTTCCCAGAGCACAGTGTCACCTGTTTTTATGCTCTTAAGCTTTCTTCAGTGTTTGCACATCATCAAAATAGATCTTAATTTTATTTATTGGTTTTTAGAGGGAGGGAGGAACATAGGGCGATTGATTATTGTTCCACTTATTTATGTATTCATTGGTTGATTCTTATGTGTGCCCTGACTGGGAATTGAACCTGAAACCTTGATATATCTGGACGATGCTTTAACCAACTGAGCTACCTTGCCAAGTCCCATAAAAATATTTTTATTAGTAGTACATCCCTGTTCCTTTTTTCCACTCTGCTTAATTGTTCTTTCTGGAATGTCTTCCACTTTTATCGTTCACTCACAAACATGAACGGTAAAACCTTGGGGATATTTTTTTTTTTTAAAGGAAGAAAGAATGCAGGAAGGTTGGTTTTTGGGACCTTTTTAGACTTGCTAGTGTGCAAGATCATTTTTAAAATGGACACATTGGATCCTGGCTCAGTTGGTTGGAGTGTCCTGTAAACTGAAAGGTTGCGGGTTTGATCCCCAGTCAGGGCGTGTACAAGAGGCGACCAATTCATGTCTCTCTTTCCCTCCCTTCCTCTCTCTAAAATCAGTGAACATATGGTTGGGTGAGGATTAAAAAATAAATAAGTAATGGGTACATTGGAATGTAATGTTCAGTGTGGTAACTAAAGTTAATACTGTGTCATATATTTGAAAGTTACTAAGATAGTAGATTTTAAAAGTTCTCACAGGGAAGAAAATTTGTAGCTATGTAAGGTGATGGACGATGGTTAATTTATTGTGATCATTTCCCCAAATACACATATCAAGCCATGGTGTATATCTAAAAATAATGCCAGTTTTTAAGTCAGTTCTGTCTCACTAAAACTGGGGGAGGGGGGAAGTGCACGCATTATTTAATAGTATTTTAATTTGCAAACCCAGAGTAAATCATTCCCGTTTCCCTCTCTGCTCAATGTGAAACCTGAAGTTTGACTTTGGTTTCAAACTTCCATAGACTCGTTCGTCCTTTAATTCAACGAATAGTTGGGCATTATTTTTCTGATGGGTCCTATTCTAGGCATTTGGGATTGGGCAAGCAAAGCAATGTCCTTGTCCTCAAGTAGTTTACATTGTAGTGGGGGCAGGAGGACAATAAAGAAATAAATATGTGCGTTAAATGAAGGTGATTTAAAAAGGGTTAATGTTTGATCAAAGACCTAAAAATGACAGGAAAGAACATTCCTCAGGTAGAGAGAAGCAAGTGGAACCGCCTTGAGAGGAAGTCGTTACTTGAGAAACAGCAATCGAGGTGTGAGATCAGGTCAGAGGGAGCCAGGAGGTGGTGGAAGGACTGGCTTTTATTCCGGGTGTGATGGGAGACCGCCAGAGGGCCGTGCAGTAAGTGACTATCTGATGAAGAGGAAACCTAGTCTGTCTGCTTTGTTCCTGGTACTTCTCAGTGCTTTGTACTGTGACATCTTTTCTGGTTGTAGATTGTCTATGCTGAAAGACCTCTCACAGACAACCACAGGTCTCTGGCTTCTTACGGCTTGAAAGACGGAGATGTCGTGATTTTACGACAGAAGGAGAATGTGGACCCTCGACCTTCAGCACAGTTTCCAAGTAAGACATCTCGGAATGGGTTAGCACCTCCTGACACGAGCATGACTAGATAGCATAGTGCGGTGGTGCAGAGTTTTGAGTTAGCTTTTGATTCAGAATACTAGGGTGCAGATCCTGACTCTGCCCCTTTAACTCAACTCCTAGAATTGATGTGAGATAATGCTTTAAAACCTTCAGCACACAGCAAGCCTCAATAAATGGCAGCGTCTCTTGTTACCGATGATAATTGTGTCCTGCAAGGACTTGAGAGGCTCCACAGGCCTGATTGCTGACTGACATGCAACCTTGTGTCTAGGGTTCAGTAGCAGGTCTTTGCAGTCAGCCAGGTACTCACGTGATCTCCTAACTCGGATGTAAAGGAAGAGATTCCTCTTTACAATTTACTGTCATTAATGGATGAAACTCTGATTGATTGATTGATTGATTGATTGATTTAGAGGAAGGGAGAGAGAATGGGGGAGAAACATCTATCGGTTGTCTCCCAGATATCCCCTGACCTGGGATCAAACCCGCAACGTGGGTATGTGCCCTGACGGAATGAAACCCACCACCTTTTGGTGCAGGGAAGATGTTCCAGCCACTTGAGCCACAATAGCCAGAGCTGAAACTCAGATTTTACATTATGTCTTCCAAGTTACATAGCTAATAAGGAAGGCATAGGAATTAAAACTCGGTGCTTTTCCATTATACTGAACTTGATGAACATTAAGCAGCTCAACCACTAACTTCTGCCTCTTTCTCACCACCTTCATTGGTCATGTAAAAGGAAGAAAGGACTCTTTATCTCAGGAGTCCCACCCAGAGTAGGTGCTTATAATTTTGAATCTGTGCATTGGGTTTAAGAGGTTGCTGTGTCCCTGAAATAAAAGGCAGAATTGTGAGGGTGTGGGCGTTTGATGGGGACAGGGCTGGTAAGTTGCTTCAGGCACTCAAAGGGGTTTTTGATCTACCAAAGTTTATTATAAGGTTCTGATGTGGAACCACTCGATGGGCCGTATTAGTTTTTCTCCACTTCCTATCAGATCCTGATAGGTTTCTTTAAACAGTGTTTGTTCTCTAGGTCGCTTGGTTTTAAAATTGTTGGTAACAGCTGATAGGCGTCGGGGTGATGCAGTCTGGAGCTTAGAGCACAGTGCTTCCATTCAGCCTGGAACTGGGCTGGAAGGGATCGCTGAAGGTGCTCCTCCCAGCCTGGGGTGACATTACTCCCTGGGGCTGCAGTTAAACTTCAGAAAGAGTAGTGGTTCCAAGATGCCAGTCAGTAAAAACCAAGTCTTCTTGGATTAAGTGGGTGAGATTGTTAGTTCTGGAAACAGCTGGTTTTTTCTGGACTGCCCCATATGGACAAAAGAGCCACCAGGGGAGGGAGAGAGTGGGATCTGGTCTACAAGGTAAACAAGTTTTCACATTTTTTCTAAAGTGAACAGATTCTCAAGATAATTGTAACTGGGTTGGAGATAAAATTTCTCAACCCACAAAGAGGGCCCCCATATGTGTTTTGCCAATTGGTATAGTTTCCCTCAGATCATGCATTCCTTTCACCTTTTCATTGGTTGGAAGTTCATACACGTACACTGCTAACTGCCACCTGAGTGACTAGTGGGACCCAGGCTAAGACACAGAAACCTTATGCCCAAGTTTAAGCATTCCCTCCTCCTTAAGGTCCAAAGGGCTTCAGGATAACCCAGGCTTGGGACAATTGTGATTGGAGAAATGTTCAGTCCTGGCTGCTCATTCTGATTCTCTTTTCTTCTTTTAAAAATAAAACTTTTAAAGTAATAGTTTAAAGAGATCATTCACATACCACACCATTCTCTCATTTAGAGGATATAATTAGATGATTTTTTAGTATATTGAGAGTTGTGCAACCATCACTACGATCAGTTATAGCACATTTCCTTTTTCTTTTTTTTTAATATATATTTTTATTGATTTTCTACAGAGAGGAAGGGAGAGAGATAGAGAGCCAGAAACGTCGATGAGAGAGAAACATCGACCAGCTGCCTCTTGCACACCCCCTACCAGGGATGTGCCCGCAACCAAGGTACATGCCCTTGCCCGGAATTGAACCCGGAACCCTTCAGTCGGCAGATCGACGCTCTACCACTGAGCCAAACTGGTTTTGGCAGTTATAGCACATTTCATCCCTTTAATTAAAGGAGCCCTGTAATTCTTTTTTTTTATCTTTTTAAAAAAATATATTTTATTGATTTTTTTACAGAGAGGAAGAGAGAGGGATAGAGAGTTAGAAACATCGATGAGAGAGAATCATCAATCAGCTGCCTCTTGCACACCCCCCACTGGGGGATATGCCTGCCACCAAGGTACATGCCCTTGACTGGATCAAACCTGGGACCTTTCAGTCCGCAAGCTGACACTCTATCCACTGAGCCAAACTGGTTTCGGCATGTAATTCTTCATCTTCCCTCAAGCCTCCTAGCCCTGGCAACCATTGGTCTACTAACTGTCTCTGTTTTTTCCTATTCTGGATATTTCATAGAAATAGATTCATACAGTATCCGGGTCCTTGGTGTAAGGCTCCCTTTTATTTTACTTTTCGTTTAGTAAGTCAGCTCAGCCTGAAGTGAGGGACCTGTCATGTCTGTTAGTGTACTCAGCACTGGGAACCTGAGCACATTATTTTTCTTCTGTTTTTCTCTCTTGTAAAATGATTTAACCTGCGAGCTGCCCGGGGCTATTGGAAGAGTTAGTGGTGATGCCCAGAGGGAAGTGTAAATTCACAGAACTGCTATGTACAGCCCAGACTTGAAGAATTTAACATCGGTCCTTTGTGCTGTGCACTTGATATATATAGTATTCCTTACTCAGACTGTCAGGGTCCTCAAGGCATATTGCAAAGCAGACCACGGTTTTTCTTAAGAACCCCATTGATTTTTGTAGTTACATTTGAGACTAGCTTTACTTTTTTGAAAAACATCTATTTTATGATTTTATTAAAAATATATTTTATTGATTTTGTACAGAGAGGAAGGGAGAGAGATAGAAAGCTAGAAACATCGGTGAGAAAGAGTCATCGATCAGCCGCCTCTTACACACCCCCTACTGGGGATATGCCCGCAACCAAGGTACATGCCCTTGACTGGAATCGAACCCGGGACCTTTCAGTCCCCAAGCCGACGCTCTATCCATTGAGCCAAACCGGTCCCGGCTATTTTATGATATTTTATAAGCCAAAAATTTGAGGTTACTACCATAGTCTCCCCCCTGCCACCTTCCTGGCATTTTTCCTACCTGTTCACTCTCAGGATGTAGTCTTTATATTCAAAGTCAACATGAGAAACTCGAGCAGGGGAGAAGGCATTTGGCCCTGACCGGTCTGGCTCAGTGGATAGAGCTTCGGCCTGTGGACTGAAGGGTCCCGGGTTTGATTCCGGCCAGGGGCACATGCCTGGGTTGTGGGCTTGATCCCCAGTTCGGGGTGTGCAGGAGGCAGCCAATCAATGATTCTCTCTTATCATTCATGTTTCTATTTCTCTCTCCCTCTTCCTTCCTCTCTGAAATCAATAAAGAAATATATTTCTTTTTTGAAAAAAAGGGAGGGGGCATTAGTATATCTGCGGTCACCACTTACTACGTTACATACTATGTATGAGCACATGTTCTGTTTCCTTCAGAGGCTTGTTTTCACGGATCATTTAAAGTAAACAATTACTTTTCCTCAACAGACATACCCCGAATAGACTTCCGTAGTATATCTGTGCCCGGCACCTCGAGCTCCCGGCAGCGGCAGCCACCCGGAGTCCAGCAGTCCCGCTCGTCTCCCGGAGAACTGGCTGGATCTCCGCAGGGCTTGGACAATCCGGCCTTGCTCCGAGACATGCTGCTGTCCAACCCCCATGAGCTGTCCTTGCTGAAGGAACGCAACCCGCCGCTGGCAGATGCTCTGCTCAGTGGAGATCTTGGTAAGTTCATCTGAAAGGCTATCAGGCTGACCTGAGGTGGAGTAGTGGATTATAGCCGGGGGGAGAATTGAAAGCCACTAGTGTGTTCAGCCCAGTGTGGCACATGAGTTATGAACATATCAGTTGGTCTGTGAGAGGTAAGTTAGCACTAATGTTGAAGGCTGAGTTAATGACAGTAGTGACAAAATTTTAGGGCTGCATAGAATCCTGCTAAACCAGTCTCTTCCATTTACTTTTTTTTCCTTAATTATTTCAACAGCACATAATCCAGTTACTGATATTTAAGCTGTTTAGTTAGACCTTCAATAAAGAGAGCACCAATGAGCCTATGGTGCTTGTTATTAATAGTTACAGGAAGCAGGTCAGGCCTTTAGCCTATGTGGCTGATTGAACCCCCTTACTCGCATCCACCCCAAGTTTAATGAAGGGCTGTTACCAACAGTCTGTTTGGAGCTGTACTGGAGCCATTCTTTCCCTTCACAGAACATTTATTTTTAGTCCTCTTTATGAGTCAGGCTTTCTCTGTAAATTTCTCCCATTTTACAAAACTGTACTGATTAAATTTTAAAACATAACAGATACTTAATAACTCATTTCTTAACCATTCTGTAAATTGAGATAATATTTACCTACAGAGAAATTTGCAGATTTTATGTATACAGTTTAGTTTGGGTTTTGGCCGACTCCTGCATCCACCACACCAATCGAGAACTAGAACATCTCTTTCAAGAAAGTTTCATTATGTTCTTTTTCGGTCAGTTTCCTCCTCTTATAGACTACCAAATTCTGATAATCATTTTAAATTAATTTTGCCTAGATTTGATCCTCATGTAAATGGAATCATGCAGTATGTTCTCTCTTGTCAGACTTCTTTCATTCAACTTAATGATTATATATTCATCTATATTATATTAGTTCATCTGACCAGTATCTTGGTTCCTTTAATTTCTTATGCAGCATATTTAATTGTCAAAGACCATGATGGTGGCACATTTAAATGCACCCGCATTTAAGAAATAGCAAAATAAAGGTGATTTTTGTAATATATCTTACAGTAAGCAATCTTTCCTCTTTACTATATTCCTGTTTATTACCCATCAGGTAATGTAGATAGGCTAACGGTAGTTTGCATTTAATTTGTCGGCTTTAAGGCAGATTATTATAAAGGAAATGAGTCCAGAAGGGGAAATGGGGTGGTAGCACTCTATTTTATTTCTAGCCAAAATAATAACAAGGGCAGAGGGGAAGGGACAAGCGGGGTCCTTTACAGCATTTTCCAGATTTAAACCAAGAAGTTGTTATGTCTGAGTATAGATAATGTGATGGATAACTTTTTATAAGACTAAATGATTTTTCCAAATATTTATTTACACTGAATTTAGGTGAAGAAATAGTCTAGCCGTGGAGAATATAAAGTAAATGTAATTGCTTATTTATTTTTAGGCATCTTGTAGAATCTACTCCTGAAACCTGTACGGTTTTGTTAACCAGTATCATCCCAATGCATTCATTGAAAAGGGGGGGAAAGGAGTAAGAAACAAAAAATAATTTTTAGGCATCTTTTCTGCATCTCCTACAGTTATATTTTGAAAAGTTGTCTGATGTGGAAAAGTACTCGTAAGGAATGAAATCCGGTGGTACTTAAGATTTTCCTCCTTTTGTAGAGAAATTCACTAGGGTGCTAGTGGAGCAGCAGCAGGACCGAGCCCGGCGAGAGCAAGAAAGGATTCGTCTCTTTTCTGCTGATCCTTTTGATCTCGAAGCTCAGGCCAAAATAGAAGAAGATATAAGGTAATGATGCCGTCACCTACCCAGCAGGCGTTAGCGAATGGAGACTCCCAAACTGCAGGCTGTCTGGTATTGAAGGGGCATCTGCTTTGAGGTAGATTCCTTATTTCGCACCTAAGCTAGTAACTTCAGTCCTTGCCTCCATCCCCACTCTCATTTTCCTCACATTTTGATTCAGCATTACAAAGGTACCCCATACAAATGACTTTTCTCCTCTAAAATTTTAGTCAAGACTCCCTGGCTAGCCCAGTGTGTCATCAAAGCAGCTGCAGTAGATGACCCCAGGATTCAGTGATGTGGTTCCCACCTGAGGCTGCATTAAAATCATGTTGGAATCTTTTAAAAATGCAGATGCTTGGGCTCCACTCCTAAAACAGGTACAATAATGCTAACGCCAACCTTGGTTACATGACTAGCCACAAGCCAGATGATGATCAGTCAGACTAACAGCTGCTACCCTCTCAGCACCACCACCCACGTCTCAGTTTTTGTGGCTCATTGTAATGGTTTTAGAATAAATATGAAGACCATAACTTCTACCAGTACTACTTTTAGGGGCTTTGTCATCATCTTTGGTTGTTTATCGATACATGAAGCCTAAGTTGGTCATTATATTATACAGTCAACTAGGAAGTTAAATAATGCTTTTCTTCTTTCTTATTTCTCTGACTGCATTTGAAATCAAAGAAATGTAAATTGTACACTAGAATCACGTGAAAGCCCTAAGCCATTTACGTATGTTCTTATTAAGTGTTCCCATTAATTATATCAGGAATTGTATCAGAATTCATGAATATCTTTGAAAAACGTCTCACTCGTTAAATCTGCTCAGAGAAATAGGAAGATATTTGTGATCTCAGAACTAGACTGCATTACAACTGTAAGGGGACCTTATATAATTCTCAAGAATATGTTCAACCCAGGAAGCAGGAGGTGTGGGGAGTGTGGGGAGGCATCAGAGCTAAACCATGGTGCTGAGCTGTTGGAAGAGCAGAAGTGAAATGAGGCCTATCCATGTGGCTTGTGTTTCTTCTCCAGGCTGGGTACAGGAAATGGGGGGACGCACACGTTCTTTCGCAGGAGAAAGCCTGGAGCCTGTAAAGTCTACATACAGAGCCCAGCATACCGAAGGAACTGGCATTGTCTCGAAGGGTTTTTGGAGTCATTGCAGTGTCAGGAGTGCGTAGTGCACAGCTAATTTTAGCTATTGCTAACTTTAATAATACGGCACACAAGAAAGCTGTAATTATTGAATGCCTGTTAAAGTTTATGTTTAGCCAGTGATTGTGCAGGGAATGTGTACTCGAAGGTATAACAGCTTGCGTGTTTGCCTAAGTTAAAAGAGTGTGCCTTTGCTTTTATAAGAAGTTTAATATTCCAACAGAGAATGGCTGATAAAACCATCAGTTCAGTTGAGCTAGAGTGTTTCTACAGATAGTTTAGAGCAGGGGTCAGCAGACTCTTCCCAGTAAGGGCCAAATAGTAAATAGTTTAGGCTTTGCAGGCCACACTATCTCCATGGCTGGTGCTCAGTTCTGCCTGGGCGGTCAGATACAGCAGAGATAATGCCGGTATGTAACAGAGATAATGCCTGGTTTACAGTGTAACTTTCCAAACCTTGGGCCTTGTTTTGTTACTGTCTCAGCCTTCAAGGAAGAGGCCTACCCCCTGCCCTAGTTTCCATTAACGTTGGTCCTATTTGGTTATTTTATTAAAAAGGAGGTTGGGAATGGAGGAGACATGAGATGCTAGAGTAAGCTGGAACTCCCTTTTATGTGCTTTTCTCATGTAAGAATTAGAATGTTCAATTTTAGAGGAAATTATTTGATGACCAGGTGAACAATGATTTATATGTGTATATATTAGTAATTTCCTAAGTGATAGGTACAGGGATCTTTTTTGGGTGTTTTTTTTTTTAACATCTGCTCTTACGTTGGCATCATATAATGATGCTTTCCACTTCTAGCAATCCTGTAATAGGAATGAATTATCCTCATTTTTGCAGATTAGAAAACCCAGTCTTAGAGATTAAGCAGCAGATGCAACAACAAGCAGTATATACATAGGTATTGTATTTGCAAACAATTTTCAAAGCCCTGGATCTAGGAAATATACCCAGATACTCAGTAAGTCCTGTTAAAATTAGAGCACTCATGAAATTTTAACATTCTATAGGATAAAAAAGGTTGTGACCCTTACTCTCCAGAAGTTTCTTTTTCTGTTTCTGAGCTTATAAAGGGAACAAACATAGTCATTTTACTTGAGGATAATTTGTATGCCTTTAATTTTCTGCTAACTGTGTATCTCACTGCCTCCTACTAAATCACAGACTGCAGGGTAGAGGACCAATTTCCATTTCAGTGACTCAGCTGCTATAGCTGGGGCAAAAGATATGCACAGATCTGTTTTAATATCGTGACTTTGAAACAGATCTTTCTTCATGGAAGTAATGCTCTTAGTGTCCCTGGTTTTGGTTTGTTACAGGCAACAGAACATTGAGGAAAACATGACCATAGCTATGGAGGAGGCTCCGGAGAGTTTTGGCCAAGTAGTGATGCTTTATATTAACTGCAAAGTGAATGGACATCCTGTGAAAGCCTTTGTTGACTCAGGTGATGTCTCCGTCCTTCGTATCTTTGTCTCCAGCAAACGTTCTGACCTGACACAGGGAGAAGGAGAGACCCTGGGGTCCTTAAAGATGGCCTTCATCCTCTGGACTGCACATAGCAAGCCGGGGGGTTGTTTCACTTCCCATCTTTGCTTGTTTGTGATAGGCTTATTTTTTAAATAATTTCTTCACCAGTTTTGTATTTTCAATGTCTCCTTTATCTTCCTGCTCCCTTTAGTTGGCATCCTGAATTCTAGGATACTTCTAAGGAATTGGGGAATCATTTGAATAAGTTTAGAATAAGAATCTGATAAAGAAGGAGCTGAGTAGCCCTAGCCAGTTTTGCTCACTGGATAGAGCATGGGCCTGCGGACTGTAGGGTTGCAGGCTCAATCCCTAGTAGGGGGCATGCAAGAGGCAGCTGGTCAATGATTCTCTCATTGATATTTCTGTCTCTTTTCCCTTCCTCTTTGAAATCAATAAAGAAATATATGTTTTTTAAAAAAGGAGCTGTATAGTGTAGGTCAACCCCATATTTCTGTGTGCCATCACTTGGCCAGGAGCAATGAGGAGCATGGGATACAGGGCGTGGTTCTTGCCGTGAAGAAGAAAGAACGGCTGGGTAGGGGGGCAGAGAATATCCCTGTACTAACTATCACCTTATCTCTTAGTAACAGCTCTTTGCTTTTTGGGTGACCACACACGGGCAGTATCATGTGGGTGTGACAGCGGCCTTCCAGGAATGACTGAGTACTAAAAGCTCCTGCTCAAGTTAACATTTCCTCCATTTGTTTTTTGTTGTTGTAGTTTTTTGTAATATATATACTTTTTTTCTTTTCTTTTTTTTTTTTTCCTTTTTAAATTATTTATTTATTTATTTTTCAATTACAGTTGACATAGTGTTATATTAATTTCAGGTGTACAACCCTGTAATTAGATATTATATAACTTAACTAACTGATCACCCTGATAAATCTTGTACCCATCTGACTCCATACATAGTTGTAATATATCTTTTTATTGATTTCAGAGAGGAAGGGAGAAAAGAGAGATAGAAACATCAGTGATGAGAGAGAACCACCAATTGACTGCCTCCTGCCTGACCCACACTGGGGATTGAGCCCGCAACCCGGGCATGTGCCCTGACTGGGAATTGAACCATGGCCCCTTGGTTCACAGGTCAATGCTCTACCACTGAGCCACACCAGCCGGGCACTTTTCCTCCATTTGTTCATCCACAAGTACTCGAGCACATGCTATGTTTCAACTGTTGGAAATAGTTTATACTGAGATGCATACAGTCCTGGGAGAAGTAAACTGCTGATTATTCAAGTTTTAAAAGGTCTGTTGTACAGGGCCTTGTGCTGAGTGCTTGGGAGGTAAGACTTACTAACTGGTGCTTCACGGGCTCCTGTTAGCGAGAGAGACAGATACCTGTCGGAGACCCTGATCTGACACTAGTATTTATTGAGCCCTTTCTGTATGGTAAGCACCATGCTAATTCATGCTAAGTTACCTAAGGTGCTTAATATATATCAGTTCATTTTTACTTAATTCTCAGCTTGCCCCCCATGAACTGCATTCTACTGTTACCCCTATTTTCTAGGGGAGGAAACTTAGACACAGAGAGGGGAAGTCATTCTCCCAGGTGTCCAGAGTTCACGAACTGCAGATCTTGGATTCAGCCCCTGGTCTGCTTGGTGCCAGAACTCAGGCACTGTGCAAAAATCCGGTGCATGTTGGATGAATATAGAAACCGCATTCTCACTGACCGGATACTTCGCCTCAGGTGTGGTTTCAAAGAGGCCATTTGACCTGAGCTGTCTCCGTGGGCAGAGGAGTGGACTTGGAGCTGAGGCTTGAAAAGAGTCAGGAGTGCAGTAAAAGGAACCCTCCCATCCTGGGGTTGCTTCCTGTACATCAGTAACTAGTTTTTGTGGAGTAAAATGGGGAGGGAGGAATATAAAGGAAAATTGCCTTCCCAGACTTTTTTTCTTTTCATTATTTCTGGGCCTTCTTGACTCTAGCCTTCAAATGCCAAGACCTTCCAGTGCCTGTGTAGTGTGAGAAGCCTTGATGAGCAACATGAACCGGAAGTGTTGGGATTGAGTTTGCGGAGACATCGTGGGGGAAGCAGTCAGTTGGTGGGGAGGTGGGCCTTGGACCGGACCTAAAGCATCAGCACAGTTAGAGAGTGAACGCAGGGGAGGGGCACTTCCGGAGGGGCCAAGGGAACACACCCCTCTGGTAAAGTACAAGGTGTGGAGCATTTGGAATACAAGTCTGGCGTCTGAGTCTGTTTGGGCTGCCATAACAGAATGCCATAACCTGGGTGGCTTATAAACAACACATTTATTTCCCAGTTCGGGAGGCTGGGCAGTCCAAGATCGAGGCACTGGAAGGTTGGTGTCTGATTCCTAGTCCATAGAGGGCAGTCTTCTCCCGAGGTCCTCACGTGGTCGGAGCGGTGAGGGAGCTCTGGGCTCTCATAGGCGTGAGTCCTACTCAGGAGAGCTCCGCTCCAGTGATCTAATCCCCTCCCTAAGGCCCTGCCACTCTGCATCATTGCATCGGGGATTAGATTTCAACATGACACGTTCCGTCTCCAGCAGCTGGAAAAGGTTTGGCCTGGACGAGGGGGGTTCTGAGCCTGGATGTGGTTTGAAGTTGGTCTTATAAGGAATAGGAGCCATTGAGGATCTTCGAGCAGATGAATTAAGTAATCTGAAGAAGGTGATAGCCCCGGTTTGGCTCAATGGATAGGGCGTCGGCTTGGGGACTGAAAGATCCTGAGTTCAATTCCGGTCAAGGGCATGTACGTTGGTTGCGGGCATATCCCCAGTAGGGGGTGTGCAAGAGGCAGCTGATCAATGATTCTCTCTCATCGATATTCCTAACTCTATCTCCTTTCCTCTCTGTACAAAATCAATAAAATATATTTTTTTAAAAAGAAGGTGATAAATTGCAAGACAGAGGCAGTGTAACAAATCTGGAAAATTCTGTGCCACTGAGGATTCTTTAATATTATACATCCACAGAGAGGTTTGGAAAGCAGAGAGACGGCCCACTAGCAAGGGGTGGAGTGTGAGCTAGCTCACTGCTGTGGTTGGAAGAAGGCGCATCAGAAATAGCAAGTGCGCAGAACTTGTTAACAGGGTTGGACCAGAGTTTGAAAGTGGGGAAAGGCTAAAAGGAGTCAAAAGTGAACAATGCCCACGTTTTATTATTTCAAGAAAACGATTCAGTTGGCAGGAAGAGAAATCCAACGAGAATTATTTGGGGAGAAACAGTTTTATACCTGTTGGCTTTGAAATACAAATGTCCGACACCGGAGTGGGAACTAGGGTCTGAGGGAGAAATGAGCACTGTAGTACATGTCACTGCAGGAGAAAAGTCTCTCACTGCCTGCTTCCTGGGCGGGAAGAGGGTCTAACTGCTGGAGCAGACAATAGGGAGTTCACGTCCAGTCTTTTGAGAGACTGCATGGTGTAAATTAGAGTCCCAAAATCAGGGGTGACAATAACTTGGCGAGATGTCTAGAAGCTTTGTGGAATGCATCTGAATGTAAAGTAGGATTCGGTGAGCATTTCTGTTGTATTCATTTTGACTCTTTGGAAATCCTTTCACATAGTTTTGCTTCCTGTTGGTAAAGTTTTTAAGTATCATTTAATAATTACATTTAAACAAAATATTCTTCCTCTCAATGTCAAGTTTCTACACTGTTTCAGATTCCACTATGGAACTGAAACTTGATAGGAAACCGCTAGGTAGGAACAATGTTGCACAGATAAAGCCTCGGTAGCCCCACAGGGGCTGGTTCCGTTGCCCCTCGGGCACATGTCCCTGTTGCAGGCTTGATCCCTAGAATGGGGTGTGCTGAAGGCAAACGATTGATGGTTCTCCCTCATTGATGTTTCTCTTTTCCTCTTTCTAAAATCAACTAAAGAAATAGTTAAATAAGAGAAAAGGCCTGGGTTATACTTGCTTTGCCCTGTTCTTAGTGCTGCATTTTAATCTTAACACAAATGTGGGTTTTGTCTTTATTATCTGACCTTTCCCTCCACCTACAGGTGCTCAGATGACTATTATGAGTCAAGCTTGTGCGGAAAGGTGTAACATAATGAGGCTGGTGGATCGTCGGTGGGCGGGGATCGCCAAAGGAGTGGGCACCCAGAAGATCATTGGAAGGGTGCATCTAGGTGAGTGAAAGGCACTGGGAGGCTTGGTAGAGCACTTAAACACTTTTCTCTTGGACAGGACATCTGATCCAGCGAGCCTCACAGAAATTTAAACTCTGTATTGAAGTCATATACATAAGTGCATATTAGCAGGTGGCAAAAAGAACATCAGGCTCCTAAGTACTACTCTCTTTTCTACTCCTGACAAAAAATTTCTTTCAACTATTTCAGCAGACTTTTATTGGTGCTTTCCTCCACATTTTTCTTTCTTTCTTTCTTTTTTAATATATTTTATTGATTTTTCACAGAGAGGAAAAGAGAAGGACAGAGAGTTAGAAACATCGATGAGACAGAATCATCGATCAGCTGCCTCTTGCACACCCCCTACTGGGGATATGTCCACAACCAAAGTACATGCCCTTGACCAGAATCGAACCCAGGACCTTCTAGTGCTCTATCCACTGAGCCAAACCGGTTTTGGCGCTTGCCTCCACATTTCTAAACATCTTTATAATGCTATTTACTCACGATTATATAAATACTATTGAGAGCATAGCCATCTAATCGAAAATAATTGCTTTTCCTATTCTTGGAATTAATAATTTTCTCTATATCTCTTTTTCTTTTTTCTTTTTTTTCTTTCTTTTTTTTTTTGTCATTGGGTTTTGGTGTGTCACTAATCCCAAACACTTCCCTGGTTGTGTATATGTCCTTGCTGCAGTCCATCCCATTGAAGATGCTTCAGAACCTGGGCTGCTTCATGCTGCTGTATTGGAATCGCCCTTGACTGAGTCCCCAGGGTTCCTGGGGTCTGATGTTGGGCTACTTGAATCCCGTGTCGTCCCTCTTTTCATTTTGCTCCTCACTTTATAAGAGCACATCTTCCAGTAACTTCCTGAAAAAAGTGCATGGTAATAAATTGAGTCCTTGAAAATCAGAACATGTCTTTTCCCCCTACATTTCACCAGTCCCACTAAGTTGGAAACCATTTTCTTTCACAATTTTTTATAGTATCGCTGTGGAAAAGCTGGCTGCTGTTCTGATCCTTGATCCTTTATGTGAAAGATTTCCTTTTCTGAAGGTTGTAGGATGTTTTATTTGACCTCAGAGTTTTGAGATTTCACAATGATGTACCTGGGTATGGCTCTCTCTCATCCGGTGTGCTGAGTGCCTTTCAGTCTGAGAATGACTTCCCCTCCAGGGTGTCTGTAATTCAGGGAGGATGGTCTCCTGTCCTGGGCTTGTTCTGCAGTTTTCTGTTTCCTTTCCTTGTGCCCTGGGGGGCTTAGGTGAGATTTCCTCAGCTTTGCCCTCCAGCCTTTCTGTTAAGTTTTGTTTTTTGTGGGGTTTTTGTAGTTGTTTCACTCTCATGTTAGATAGTTTTCTCAGATGTCTGGTGATCCTTGGCACCTGTTCATATTGAGTGGAACACCAAAAGGCTCCTGGGAAGATTACTCGGGTGGGCAGCCATGGCGGTTGTGTGTCATCTAGAAGCTGAGTCTCAGTAAGCTTTCACTTAATCCCCTGGGTCTTCATTAGGTGCTTGTGCTGTGTCCCTGTCTTCCTCATGCCCATCTATTATGAGAGCCTCTGTTTCACCCTCATGAGAAAAACCTCGCAGGCCTGCTTTTGAGGTAAAGGGAGGTACTTAGCCACCTGGCTGAGCAGATGCAGGAGAGGACCCCAAGATCTAACAGTGCCTGCATAGACCTTCAGCGAGTCTCTGCTCTGGACCTGCCTTCAACCCCTGTTTTTAGAGGTGCTTGTTTCCACCAGCGTGTCAGCCTCTGGGGAGGTCTCGGGTGTTAATTGGGTTGCTTCTTAGTTTTCCTTCCTGTCATCTGCTTTCTAGTTCCAAAATTGTGTTTCACTTCTCTCTGTCATTATTTTTGACCTAGGTAATTTTTTGCTGGCAGAGTATTTTAAAAATATAGAAATGTGAAAAGAAGCCAAAATACCTTAAATCCTTTTAGGTGAGAATCAGCCATTAATAGCACTTGGACATGCCTCTTTTTTATCTTGTTTCCATGTGTTTTTTTCTTGTAAAGAATAGTCATAGGATTCGGCAAATAGAATTTTATCCTCTGCTTTTTTGTATATTTTATTGATTTTTTTTTTTTTTTTTTTTTTTTTTTTTTTTTTTTTTTTTTTTACAGGGAGGGAGAGGTATAGTTAGAAACATCAGCGAGAGAGAAACATTGATTAGCCGCCTCCTGCACACCCCCTCCTGGGGATGTGCCCACAACCAAGGTACATGCCCTTGACCGGAATCAAACCTGGGACCCTTCAGTCTGCAGGCCGATGCTCTATCCACTGAGCCAGACCGGTTAGAGCTATCCTCTGCTTTAAGAAAAATTAACAGTTGTACCATTTCTCAAATGTTACTATAAATTTCATAAATATCATTAAGTAAATGAGTAACAGTCATAGGTTTAGTGGTAAAGTTTTGGGATATATTTTTATCCAATATTTTGTCATTGTAACATGGCATTGGATTTTTGTGTAGTACACTGGTGTTTTTCCTTAGTCAAGGTTCCTGTCAGTACTGCATCAAAGGTTACAAATACTTTAAGACCCTTGTTAACTGGTACCAATCTGGTTTCCCCAGCCCTGAATGAATATTCACCTCAACTTTGCATAGGGGCAATATTATAGCCAATGAGGTTTATTCGAGGTGTGGTTATTGCTAATTGAATGAATAAATGAATGTTCATTCAGTGTTCTTGTACAATCAAGTATTGTTAATTTTAACTCTAATTTGCAGATAAAGTGGTTTCTTACTATGTTACTTTTCTTTCATTGCAAGTCAAGTTTCTATTTTCTTTTTAAATATATGTCTATTTATTAGTCTTATTTTCTCTTATTGACTTGTATAGGATTATTTAAATACCTTACTCTCCTATGCTTCCCTACACACAGAACATAAATTGAGGAGGAATATCACAAATTGGTTGCTTCAGAGCCTGATGTCTCGGGGTTTTTTCATAGTTTTAAGTGAGAGGATAATAGGAGATAACGTGGATACCAGCCCCTGTGTCCTTCCTTGTGGGTGGACAAGTTATACTGTTTTGCAACTTTGCGTCTGATCAGCATGAAGAACTTAACAATAAAGAGAGATTTACTAACAAAAGCTTTGTTAATATATCTAAATCCCAGGAGGGTGTGTGTGTGTGTGTGTGTGTGTGTGTGTGTGTGTGTGTATGAGAGAGAGAGAGAGAGAGAGACACGATGTGCTTATTTTAGATTTTATATGGGCTTTTTATATCACACCCAAAAGTTAACTCAAAGTTGATTAAAGACTTCGATGTCCCAACCAGAGTGGCTCAGCTGGTTTAATTCCTGGTTAGGGCACATCCCTGGGTTTCAGGTTAGATCCCCGGTCAGGGTCAGGGCACAGTCAGGGTCAGGGCACACACGGAAGGCAACCAATTGATGATGTTTCTCTTTCCCTTCTCTCTCAGCATATCCTTGAGGAGTAAAAACAAAAGACTACACTGTTTCAGATTCCACCTGGAACTGAAAGTTGAACTAAGCATGGGAGGAAACTGCTAGATAAGAGCAATATTGCTCAGATAAAAGCTGTGGGTAGCCCTGGCCCCTGTAAGTCAGAGTCAAAGCTTTTGGAAGAAGCGGGGGCATGGCTTGGGGGGTCAGTTGTGGGAAAGGGAAACATGTAAGACTTTAGACAATAAAAAATCAATTAAAAAAGCTTTTAGAAGAAAATGTAGGAGGATATCTTACATAGGGAAGAGGTTCTTTCATAGACAGGAAGAAAATTATTTGATAAATTCAGCCACATTAAGATTAAGAACCTTTCATCAAAAGACATAAAAAAGTGAACAAACAAACTAGGAAAGGATTTTAGTAATGCATATAATTAATAAAGAATGCATATTCAGAATACACATATTCTGTGTGTTTGTTAATCCTCCAACTTACATATTAAGTAAAGGAGAGATTGGTGAGAGAGTCGAGGCAAACACAGGCCTCGGTGTTGTCTCTGGTTCGCAAATAGGAACTTGATAATCACAGGCAGCAAATAGGAACTTAAAAATCACATACTTTCAGAGGAAACCGATACGGTTAATAAGTGCTATATATGAAAAGTGGCTTACCCTCCTTTTTAACCAGGGAAATTCAAAATTACTGCCACATTTAGCAAAATTTTCAGTCTAATCATACTGAATGTTGGTGAGAATGTGGAGCAATGAGAACTTTCATGCACTGTTGGAAACATTTTTAGAAATAATTCAGCATCACCAAGCAACGTTGAGCCTAGTAGAACCCTGTGATTCCACTTCTTAAACTGGACCTTAGAAAAACGTGTGGCACAGCAGTACACAAGTACAGAAGTGTGCAGGTGGGCAGAAATGAAGCACCCCAGAAAGGCCCGTAGGAGTGTAGTGGGCACCTCAGTTCTGGTGTGTGAGACATGGCAGTACTCCAAGAAGTGATGTAAAACAAAAGACTTAGTCATGGGCGCCTACAGAGACCAAGTATCTCAAAATATTTTTTGAGTAAAAGAGCAGGTCATAGTTTAAAAACACAAAACTTAACAGTATGGCCGATACCGGTTTGCTCAGTGGATAGAGCGTCAGCCTGCGGACTGAAAGGTCGCAGGTTCCATTCCAGTCAAGGGCATGTACCTTGGTTGCGGGCACATCCCCAGTAGGGGTTGTGCAAGAGGCAGCTGATTGATGATTCTCTCATCAATGTTTCTAATTCTTTCCCTCTCTCTTCCTCTCTGTAAAAAATCAATAAAATGTATATTTTTAAAAAACACTTAACAGTATGATGCTTAGAAATCCTACAAAGCTGGTAAGAACTATAAGAAATGCTGGGAGTGATCAACACAAAGCCCAGGGTAGGTGGGAGGGTGAGAGGAAGCAAAGAATAAGCTGTGTCAGTAGGACATACGGAGACTTCGTAGTTTTCTATTTCTTACCTTGGGGGAGAGGTTTGTGGGTGTTAGTTTTATGAGGCGTTATGCTGTGCATATGTTTCATGCACTCCTATTTATAAGATACACTTACGAATAGCAAAGTACACTTTTTAATCTTACATATTAAGTAAAGGAGAGATTGATGAGAGAGTCGAGGCAAACAGAGGCCTTGGTGTTGTCTCTGGTTTGGCAAATAGGAACTTGATAATCACAGGCAGCAATAAACAGTTTATGCTTTGGAGGCTAATTTAAAGGGTTTAGAGTGTGCAGATTTATTTCCCTCTAGAAAACCTTTTGTAAGTGTACAGGAAGTGAGTGGTTTATTGGAGGGATTGGTCCCTTTTTTTAATCCTCTTTGCCATCTGGTGCCTTCATTGGCTTTTAAACTGCGTATTAGTCTTACAGGATTTTCTTTTTATACTCCCAATCTTTACATGCTTTGCCTTGGTTTTGACTGATTGGGAGATGCCAGGCACAGAATGAAAGTTACATTTCCAGAGTTTGAGTTGGAGTTCTGAATAAAAATCGGTAACATGGTCTTTCCTTCACATGCTTTAGCTCAGGTGCAGATCGAGGGCGATTTCCTGCCGTGCTCCTTCTCCATCCTTGAGGAGCAGCCCATGGACATGCTTCTGGGACTGGACATGCTGAAGCGGCATCAGGTACTCAGAGCTCCACCTGCTTGTGCATTGGCCTTTGTATGATCCGTGGTTATTTCTGCTTCACTCCCCGTGGCCGTGTGCACTGGAAAACTCAGAAGCACGGCTCGTAGAAGCTGAAAAGGTCTTTAATTGATGATGGTGTCATACAGGTTTGAAATAATGTGTAAGGAAGAATAGAGTCTTTTGTGAAATCTTAAAAATCTTAAAAACGTTGCAAACCAGTAATTTTATTGCTAGCTTTACCCAGTGGCCAGATACGTTTCTGTTGAACAAATACAAAAAATGTTTTATATAAATGTTGAAGGCACACTTTCAAATTAAATGCCCATTGTATTTTGAAGTTATTTATTACTTGTTCTTACAAGTTAATGTCTTTCTAAAGCATGATACTTTGTAAAACATTGTGTAATATGAAATGAGAATTCTCGTGATCTGTCCGCAATGTGTTAAATCTTTCCATCTTTTTTGATATTAACATGGGCTTTCGTTCCCTTGTGTAATGTGTAGTTTCTGATTAGAGCCCAAGTAATTTTTGAATGGGTTTGTAGGGAAGTGTGAGTACCACACGGTGATGGTTGTATGCCAGTGCGAGTTTAGCAGGTTTCTTAGTATCTGGTCGAATGATCCTTGGGAAGAAGAGCTTCGGGATTAAGGAAGAAGCTGTAGCTATTGGGAATGGAAATGTTTGTTTAGTACAGAGAGAGGGATTTGACACTGTATTCATTCGCAGTGATATTTATATTTCTACTCCAAAGCCTAATCATGTGTTTAAAGATAAATAGCTCTCAGTGAAAAAGCAATTAGTGTCCACTGGGTAGTAAAATTTTTCACAACAAGGTTTTATATCTAGCCAGTATTTTTGTCACTATTTAAAATTCTTTTAATACTAAATTCAGTGTGCAGACTTTTAAGTAAAAGGAATGAGTGAATGCATGTATAAATAAAACCTATTTTATTGTCACTGTCTTTATTTTTTTTAGTTATGGTATAGACTCATGGTCGGCAAACTGTGGCTCGTGAGCCACATGCAGCTCTTTGGCCCCATGAGTGTGGCTCTTCCACAAAATAGCACAGCCTGCGCAAGTCTATTTTGAAGAAGTGGCATTAGAAGAAGTTTAAGTTTTAAAAAAAATTGGCTCTAAAAAGGAATTTCAATCATTGTACTGTTGATATTTGGCTCTGTTGACTAATGAGTTTGCCGACCACTGGCATAGACCATGATATCTCCAGTTACAGATATAAAGCATATATGTAATTGCCCTGTGTTAGTTAATTATAAAAATACACAAAGAATGGAATAAATTAGAGTTTTATATAGATTGCCTTTCCTTTAGATCACTTTTGAGACCATTAGTACACAGTTTAAATATAAGCTGTATATGTAAAAAAAAAAAAAAATGTAAAACTATAAACAATACATCTCTGTTTTATTTTAAAAAGTCACATGTTTGTAAAAGTAAAAGGTGGGGCCATTGGTTATGCCTGGCATTTTCCCAAATTTGCACAATGAACATGTATTACATTTAAATTGAGAAGTGAATATATTGTGTTAGACAAATAAGTGTTAACCGTATTCTGTAGATATTATTCTGCTATAAACAAATCTAAATTAACTGTCACCAGGTTAAAGCTTAAATGCTTTTAGCAAAGTTGTTTGGAACCATCTCTGTCTCTGTCCATGTTGCTCTTTGTGAGTGAGTTTTAAATTCAGGATCATGATTTTCCTGCATGGTGTTTTATCTGCTATCATCTGTCTTTGGTTTCTTCCTCCTAAGTGTTCCATTGACCTCAAGAAAAACGTCCTCGTGATCGGCACCACAGGCTCCCAGACCACCTTCCTCCCCGAGGCAGAGTTACCCGAGTGTGCCCGGCTGGCCTACGGGGCCGGGCGGGAGGAGGCGCTGCGGCCCGAGGAGATCGCAGACCGAGAATTAGCAGAAGCCCTTCAGAAGTCCGTACAGGATGCAGGTATTGCAGTGCCGGGCTCTTGATTGCGTAACCTTTCACTGGCAGTGGAGCTTTAGAGGATAGGGACCTTTCCAGGTTGTGGTCGGTCTCATCGTCCTGTCAGGTGTGTTTCTGTCCTCTTACCACCTTCTGTCTCTCAGCTCAGCAGACAAAACGTGGTGTTTCCAAGGCCAAGAACAGCAGTCCACGGCTCTGTGGAAGCAGAGTGGGAGCTGTTGGCTTAGGCATGTTTTGATAGGCTTCCTGAAAAACCTTGTATTTTTTTCCTAAAGAAAATTGTAACAGTAAGCAGACACTTCCTTTTGCATCCAACAGTATCTCCCTGAAGATTTCTTTTCCTTTTTGTAGGCCCATTTTCGTAGGCATTATCTCTGTGACTAAGCAGCCAAACCTTTTTTTATCGACTAAACGTGCTGCCACCAAAGGAACCAACAATGAGAAGCATCATTGAGCGTCAGTCAGCATATAGGATTATGCCGTCAGTGAGTTCACAGTAGTGAGCCAGTTAGAACAGGATGTGAGCTATTGAAATGAAGTCACCTAATATGTGTGTTTTCTCTAAGTCTGACTTGTTGTAGCCCATATCGATCTAAAGTCCAAGCCAAGTTTCTGGGCAAAATGGAGGGGCATGGTTTTGCTGAAACTCATGAATAATTGACTGAGGTGCATTTTCTAGAAGCTGAAGAGAATTAACTTTTAACTTTGGGTTATTTTAAAGTCTTGAATTATAATTATTCATCAGTGACTAGTATAACATGTTGCATTTTTCAATATGGTGAAGAATATTGGATCTACAAGTTCAGGGACTTGTAGTTTTCTTCTAAAGACAAAAAAGTTAAGAGCTTTAAAAATAAGCAGGCAGATTTGTCTGTCACTGGAGAACACCCAATGGGTCAGCCTTGAACCTCCCTCCAATGGATATGGGTAACAGATGGAGATTTCCGAGCTGGCCTTGTTCACAGTCTACCTTATGGTTCAGATTTACATACAGACTACAGTTTTAAATGTGACTTAAGTATTTTGTAGGAAAGGGAGGATTTTGAGCAACCATACAGAGAAAAAATTGTTTTGTTTTTTTATCCTCACCCAAGGAAATGTTTTTATTGATTTGAGAGAGAGTGAGAGAAATCAATGTGAAAGTGAAACATTGATCAGTTGCATTCCCTATGCACCCCTGCCCGGGTTTGAACCCGAGACCTGAGTATGTGCCCTGACCCAGAATCAACCCACACAACCTTTGGTGTACAGGATGACACTAACCAGCTAGGCCACTAGGCCATCCAGCCAGGGCAAATTCAATTTTAATCTTACCTGCAAGGCAAAATTGAAAGAGATTGACATACCTACTTAGAATGTTTCACATTTTCTTAGTTAACTTGTCAGCTTAGTCATAATATTCTGTATTAATAAACTAGAAGAGCCGAAACCGGTTTGGCTCAGTGGATACAGCATTGGCCTGCAGACTAAAAGGTCCCAGGTTCGATTCCTGTCAAGGGCATGTACATTGGTTGCGGGCACATCCCCAGTAGGGGGTATGCAAGAGGCAGCTGATCGATGATTCTCTCATCGATGTTTCTAACTCTATCCCTCTCTCTTTCTCTCTGTAAAAAATTAATAAAATATATATTTTTTAAAATAAACGAATATATTATCATTTTGTGAAACCTCTGTCTTTGTCCCCACGGTTCTAGTGCTTTTATTTAAGAAACACTAGCTGATAGTAGCAGTGCTATCTAAACTAACGACAGTTACCCTCTTTGGGTAATTACCTTTTATTAAAAAGCTTAGGAGATTAAAATAGAAACCACAGATATTTTCAGATAGTGAAGATGTATCCACTTTAAATGATTAAATGGAAATGGCTCTTTACCCATGTGATCTTTTGTTGCTGATGCGTATTGGCTTGTGCTGTGTGTAATGTTGAAGTAATGAGCTAATTCTACAACATGAGGTTCTATTTGTTTAAGACATTGACTTCCCAGTATCATCAAAGTTAAAACTCTGGACATAAAAGGTGAAAATATTTTTGCTAAAAACTGCTTCCTTGGCAGCTTCTCATTATCAAAATATTTATCTTGTCTCTGAAAAAAGAATTCAGAATAAAAGCTGTATCTGATCTGTTTTCTACAAACTGGTTCAAAGATAAAGAAGTTAAGTCAAGCTAGATAATCATGTTTGGTTTGTATTTCTTTTTTTTTTCTTTTCTTTTTTTTAAAATATATTTTATTGATTTTGTACAGAGAGGAAGGGAGAGAGATAGAGAGTTAGAAACATCGATGAGAGAGAGTCATCGACCAGCTGCCTCTTGCACACCCCATACTTGGGATATGCCTGCAACCAAGGTACATGCCCCTGACCGGAATCGAACCCGGGACCTTTCAGTCCCCAAGCCGATGCTCTATCCATTGAGCCAAACCGGTCTCGGCTGGTTTGTATTTCTTCTATAAATAAGTCTCAACTGAGAAAGGAATTTGGAAAGTGACGTTATGTGTGTTCACTTACCCTGTACTCCATAGAGGATGTCCATGTCACGTGATTCTGTGCATGGCCTACCTCTCTTCACCTGTCTGACGTGTTTGCCCATGAATTTTCTGTGTAAATTAATTCTTTCCAAGTTCTAGTAAAAATCTGTTGAGGTGGACGCATTACTTTATGTATTGTGGGAGAATTCTTCTGATGTCCAAACTACGGAAACATTCCCCAGCTTTGACTGCCAGTTCCTGAGGTTAAAGATGGCCGAGGAATGGAGACTATAACCCGCATGCTGTGTGGTTTGCATTGTTAACCCGAGTTTGCTTGTCTGTTTCCTAATTCAAACAGAGCGTCAGAAGCCATGATGCATGTAGTGTGTGTGTACTGCAGCTGGAGTGGGCCCCAGACCAGGTATTTATAGACCCTGCCTAAGCCTTCCATCAGTCGTCTGTGGTCTCTATCTGCAGCAGTTTTGGAATTTCGCGTCCGTCATTCACCATTTCACCTTGTTGAATCTGGTTACAACTAGCCTGTATGTGTTTATACGTTAGCATACATACACATCTAAACATAATTTCTTATTTAAAATTTTATCAATTATTAGAACAGTCCACGAGGGAAATCCCAGAAAAGCAGTGTCCATCTGACTGACCATTGTGACTGTCAAATCAAGAATGTCAGCCTTCCAGCCTTTTGTTGGATAGCTTAGTCTGTTACGGATTTCATGAAAAACTGGTAATTCTTTTTGCACATGGCTGCACACAGCTGCCTGGAGCTGTGGAGTGGTAAAAATTTTCATTCTGTTGAAGAAGAGATGGAAACAGGCCAGATGACTTGTGCAGGGTTGCAGTCAGTAATAAAGGTGGGACTGGCGTTTTACACTCCCAGCAATAAGAGCTGAGAGCCTGCCTGCTTTTGCCTCTCCCTGGCCGGACCGATTTCCCCACCCTTCCTCTGTTTCCCTGCAGTGTGAACGTGGCCGTTGTCAGCTTGAGCACATTAGCGGATATATCAAGAGGAGGAAAATCGGCCTTTTAAACTACCAACCTCGGACTTGATAGGGATTCACAGGCTGGTTGTAATGAGATACATGGGACTTAATTTCTTCTTTCTTTTTCTTGAAAGGCTGGGTTAAAAGCAGGCATGGTGTAATTATTCTTAGTATCCATTGTCCTCATCATCTTCTCCTATCTGATGGTTCTGACCCATCCTCCCCTGCATTTAGGACTTAGGCCAATGGAACTGACCCTCTCAGCTATAGGCGGGCTGTATGCTGATTTCATAGTGAGTACAAAATACACTCAGGCTCTGTTCACCCTGACCTCACCCAGTTGTTAAAATTGTTATCAGTTGCCTGAAGACCATTATCATTCTGCCCCAGCCATGCTGTTGGCATGGATATTTCACTACAATGCGTCTTTCCTGTTCACAGTAACTCAACATTGAATCTTTTCAGAGTCAGCCTTAGAGATTGACAAGTAAAACTAATAACTGGTTTCAGACTCTAAGGGATATGGCTTGCACTGAGATAAATGCTGTTTTCCTGTTTGCCCCTAAACTATAAGAAAGACTGTTTCATAGAAGCCTGTCACTCCCTGGCATGGTGCTTCATCGTCTCGTGCTGTTAACCAGTGTTGTGTCAGAATGATCTAGAACCATTTGAACTGGAACCGCATTGCTTCATGACTTCTTAAAGTCAAGATCAAGCCCCCACGTTGGACACTAACGATGAGCATGAAGCAACTGAGTTGCATCTGCCCTAATAGATTGTATTGTGCAGTCATTTTGTTACCAGCCTTTGACTTTTGAAGATTGTGTGGTAACTGCATAGAAGACAGTTTTTAACTGATCAGTGGCAAAAAGAGAGCTGGAACCTATGTTTCATGACAGCATGTTCACACTGAGGTAATGTTGAACCCTGCCGCCTTGTGAGACTTGGTCAGAGCTACAATGGGTCTGTCGTCATTGTCTATTGAAAACTCTCCCTCCAACTCCTCCACCCCTACTCCCTTGCCCTTAACATACTTAAATGTTCTTACTTAGTTTTACTATGTTCCTATGGTAAAAGTAACTGATAATCTTTTTATTTGGTAAGATAACTGGGACTTACATCTGCTTGGTCTCTAGCTTTGCTTTTGTTCTTCCAATTAATGCTCACATAGTTTTATTATTTTGGGGAAGTTTGGATAAAAATAAATAAAATGTTTACCTTTCTGTCTTCTGGAGGTCCCCAAGCATTACATTCTTCTTTCTCTCTATAATTCCTGCTCTGATGTGCCTGGTTTAGACTTCTCATTTACAACCTCACTGAAAGTAGTTGGCATGAGAATCATTCTACTCGGAGAGCTTCAGCATTTGTAATGTGCTTAAGAATTACCGGAGGAGCTCATTGGAAATGCAAGCTCCTATGGTTTACTCCCAAGAAAGTATCCCAGAGTCTGCGTGCTTACCAAACACCCCAGTGATTTTAGGACAAGTGGTGGAGAACGCACTGGGGAAAGAACTCACTAAGAGTAAAGGTACTGAAATGGCCTTCAGTCTTGAGCACAAACCAGCCATCATGTGTATGTTTATTAATGATACTTGGAATACTGGTTGCAGTATGCATCTCTTATTAAGAACATTCCTACTCTTATTTTCATGCTGTGATGTTAAATTGTCTACCACAGTGGGAATGGTTCTTGTGCAAGTTTGTGAATATAAGCAAACCCAAGTTTAAGGACCTGTCCTATCGTGTTTAGATTTGTGTCCTCTGGTAATTTAGTGGCCTTCATAACCTGCTGATCTCTTTTCCTTTCCCTTTTGTTCCATATAGAGAAAAGTGGTGAAGAAACTACCTCACTGGGAATGTCATCGTTACCAACTTCAGATGGATTTAACCATCCGACCCGTCCTTCAGGACAGAGTCCCGAGGTTGGTAATCCCTCGGGTCTCGCTCACTCCGTCTCTGCTTCAGTCTGCCCCATCAAGCCCAGTGACCCAGACAGCATCGCACCGAACGCTGTGAAGGCCTCGAAGGCTACCCCTGAATTCCAGATACCCTCCGGAAAAAAAGAGCATCTTCCTCTACAGGATCTCTCTGGTCCTGCTTCTCCAGCGGACTGGAGTCCGGCCATGCCCTGGCAGAATTCACCCGAGGAAGCCACTGCCGCAGATGATCTGGAGCCATCTCCTGCTGAAAGAAGCACCCAGAGCCTCAACTCCCCTCTCCACCCAACACAGGAAGTGTCTGTCACAGCGACTAGGATGCAAGAACCGCAGAGGTTTCTAGGTGAAAAGGGTTGGCATCCAGAATGTCAGACTCTGAGTCAGGTGAATGGCCTTCTGCAGCAGGAGGAACCAGGGGATGGACAGCATGAGGTTGTACAACAGAATGTGCCACATGACCGAGAACATCTTTGTAACAAGGGGGACCTTGAACTTCTTGGAGAAAGGCAACAGAATCAACCAAAAAGTGTGGATATGGAAGCTGCGATGAAAGGAGACCGGCTGCGGCAGGATGTGGACCTCCCAGCTGTACAGAACAGTCTACCCTCAGGGTGCTCTGACTGCTCCAATTCAGAGACGCTTATGGAAGTAGATGTAGTTGAACAGCCCCCACGCCCTGTGCTTAGTTCGGCAGGCGATCAGAATGCCATTGTCAAGAGCGTCAGTGCATCTGATCTCACCTTCGATGATCCCTTGATGGAAATGGAAACATCAAAATGCAACCCTTCATCTGAAACCTTGAGTAGTTCCATTTCTGCTCAGAATTTACAGCGCCCAGAAAGCAGTGTGGAAATGTCCGGAACAAATGAAGACTGCGGGAATTGCTGCCCCGCCGTAGGTCTCTGTGGCAGTTGTCAGCCCTCTGTGGAGTCAGCAGAGGAATCTTGCTCCTCCATCACAGCAGCCTTGAAGGAACTTCAAGGACTTCTGGGCACTAGTAGCAAACCAGCTTCAGAAATCACATCTGAAGAAGTTATCTGTCAATCAGAAACAGTAACCGAGGGCCAAACAAGTCTGGGGGTCCTTTCTGAAGGATGGATCCAGAGTGAACAGTGTTCACAGGTCTCCTTTCATCAGGCCACATCTGTGTCAGTAAAGACAGAGAAATTAGTAGACACTTCAGCTGGCACCGGGATGGAAGATGTAGAAGATGCTAACTTCAGGGGTCCAGCTGATGGCCTAGTGGCTGACTCGGAAGGTGCCCCCCAGTCTACAGAATCAGTAAATGAGAGCAGTTCTGTCATTCTAGCCTCAGCTAATACGTCTAATCAATTACACTGCACCTTAGGTGTAGAAATTTCACCAAAACTTCTAACAGGTGAGGAGGAGGCACTCAAGCAGACTTCAGAGCAAACGAAGTCCTTGTCATCGGAGTTCATGTTGCTTAAAGATTTGGGTCCGGACACACAGAACCCGGTGACAGGTGGGCCTGAGACCAGAGAAGATGTCTGTCCTGAAGCCGAATTGGAGCTGCCTACCAGCTATCCGTCATCGGGTCCCTCCATTCTCCCACCGTTACTTTTCCCTGCAGCAGACATTGACCGGATTCTCCATGCCGGCTTTACCTTGCAGGAAGCTCTCGGGGCTTTGCAACAAGTTGGTGGAAACGCAGACCTTGCACTTCTTATTTTGCTAGCAAAGAACATTGTAGTTCCTACGTAACCATGGAAAAAGTGGGCTAAAACATACTCCATTCCCTTGAAAAAAAAAAAAAAAAGCTATTATACACACATACACACACTCACCACATATACAGCATATGTACTAGTAGTAACCTGCAAGCAGAATGTTGAGCCAGATTTTTTTTTAAAGATTTTTTTTCAGCCAAAGTAATTTATGATCTCTTGTCTGATGAATTTGTCTATTTGTTAAAATTTGGGCCTTTTTAAGTGTAATGTCAGTCTATGTATACAAAAGCGTTTTATTCTCATTAAGATGATGTACTCTGGAATAAAATCGATGGCTTTGTGTTTAGCGTACCATTGTAGAATGAGAGTGAGTCTTTGAGAAGCAGAAGCCCTGAGAAACCCCAGCACCCGTGCAGCTGAGAGCAGCCCAAGTCCACACTTCAGCTGTGTCTGTGCCACAGGCAAGGTATGGCTTATTGGTCCCGTTGTCCACTTACAAACTTTTGATCACATAGTTTGGGCGTTCAGAATTCTACTCCGTGCTCTGTTTATTATGACTCATCAGCTATAAAAGGGAAATTGAAGAGTAATTGAATAATATTGCCTGGTGTGGTTTGTGGTTGGATTTGACATTGTAAAGGGATGAATCGGGAGGGTTTAAAATCTGAGTTACTTTGTACATCATAGGCTGCTGCATGGATCGCCGCCTTGGATGGGATATTGTAGGGGAATGAACAGAGTGAAACATGGTGCTACCCAGATTAAAACAAACAAAAAAAACAACCTGGAATTCCACTTGCAAATGTCTTGGTGATGTTTCAGGAACTGACTGAAAAATAGTGACCTGAACAGTGGAATTTACTAGCATTTGGGTTTGCTAGCATCTCACTGATCTCACTTCAGCCCTCAGTGACAAACTATGGTCTCGAGCTCAGCCAATGGGCTGATGGTCAGCAGTGTATTTCCTTTCTAAGTTCATCTTCCACTAGGAAGTTCTTCTAAAGCTTAGTCTGAGTTGGGATCTGAGGGAACCAGTGAAGTGTGAACCATGCCGCTGATTGGTCGTGGTGCTTGGTATGTTCTGTTTGATGAGTGTGCTTCGTGGCGATAGAAATAAATAGTAATGGCAGTTCCTGACTCAAGTGGCCTTTTACTAGATGTTTGGTAGTGTATTCCATCCCCTTCTTTTCTCAGGAGTTTCTTTTATCAAACAAGATTCATCACATTGTGTTTTACCATGTCAAGTTCGAGTGGGGCATAGTGTTTGTGGCCTTTTGCTAGATGAGGACTAGCCCTTGGAAATCCCTGTCCTGTGGGCCCCCCTGTGCAGCAATCCTACTGGATGGACACCTGCTCTTCTCTGTACCCAGAAGGAATCGGAAATCTTATTTTATTAGAAAGAATTTTGAGCATGATAATTCCCAGTTCCGGTTTACAGTTTGCCATGTGTTTGAAACAGACCCTTTGAAATGGTGATTTGTGAACTCAGTGTTAAGTGATTTTGTCTAAAGTCTGACTCTCTTGAAAAGCTTGTTCTTTCCATCAAAATTCACGTCATTTAGCACAATCAAAATGGAGGCTCATATCTCAGGAGTTTTTGAAATTTTAATTTGTGGCTACTTCAGGCATTTCTCTTAGACCCTATTCCATCTTCTCTTGGCACTCTCTACCACTGAGCCAAACCGGTTTCGGCTAGGCTGTGCTGTGTTTTAGAAGACTTTAGTGGTGGGACATCACCTAAATCCGTCACGATCCTCTGAAGCCAGGGTTGTGACAAGTTGTAGTTAACCAACCGTTTTTCAAGAGGGCGGGCGCGCAAAAAAACAGGCAAGCCAGAATGTCTTCAAAATGTCCTTTAGACAATCACGTGCCTCGGACCCTTTCGCCCGCCCTACACCAAAGATGTGAGATACTCTGGGAAACTGCTGGTAGGGTTTCTGCCAGCCACCCCGAGAGCTGTGACTAATGGTGGTCAGTGCTGTGATTGGGGCAGATCGGTGGCAGTGAAAAGGGTTCCTTATATTTGCTTTGTGGGTGGTGATTGGGAATGTATTCAGAGTTTATAAATCTTTAGGGCCACAGAATGCTGGGTGGGGTGGAGGAACTTCGAAATGACCAGAAAGCCTGTGTGAAGAAGGGCCTCATGTTCTGTGAGCAGGTGGTAGGCACCGCCCAGAGGCATGGCCACTGTCTTCACTGTGGGGAGGCGGGAATCTGTCCCAAAGATGGAATATGGGAGCTCAGTCCGAAAAAAAGCTTCATTGCAATAGCATTTAAGTGTGTGTGTTTATTATTAGGCCTGTAGGTGTCCATGTATTCTTGTTAGGAATACTTTGAGGGAACTTAACCCAAATATCCTTGTCCTTTTCCATCATTTATTTTCCAATATACAGTTGCTTTTTATTTCTAAGATCTTATTTCCTGTCCATCGTGTGTTTTATTTTGTGTTGTTTTTTTGTTGTTGTTTTTTTTAGAGAAGTTAGGTGGTTGATATTGTGAGGGTTTTGAGTCATTTGTGAGTTCAGAAGTTCTTGAGTGCGACACTAGTGAACCATCACTGGCAGTTTTTATTCTTTATCTAAAAATCAAATAAAACTGTGAAACTCCTCTGGTTGCCAGCAGAACTGGTGAGGGCCAGCCCGCCCTGTAATGGACCCTTTATCGGGTGGCTCCTTCATTACTAGTTGTGGACAGTGGTCTGGTTCATGGTTACCTCCAGGGCTGGTCTGTTTATTCACCAGAGGAGGCAATTTTTATGTATAACTTCCACATTTCTCCTTAAGCTGGCTCCTGTGTGTAAGAATGTTTGGTGCCGAAACCGGTTTGGCTCAGTGGATAGAGCATCAGCCTGTGGACTGAAAGGTCCCGGGTTCGATTCCGGTCAAGAGCATGTACCTTGGTTGTGGGCACATCCCCAGTAGGGGGTGTGCAAGAGGCAGCTGATCTATGATTCTCATTGATGTTTCTAACTCTCTATCCCTCTCCCTCTCTGTAAAAAAATCAATAAAATATTTTTTAAAATAAAATAAAAAAAATTGTGTTTGGTAACCAGATACCTATATTGACATTATAGATTCTGCCCATTGAAGGTGATAGTAATTATTTCCACTTGTCCCTGGTTAGGCCTCAGGCCAGTAGCCTTCATCCCAGAGTTTGGGCTTTAGTCATAAACATAAAGATTACCAATTGCTTGACGAAGGGAACTGGATAGATGGTGAGTGTGTGTGTTAAGGCTATTTTGCCTTGCAGCCTACCCCACGTGTTCCTCCTCCTGCAAGAGGGTCGCAGGAAAATGGAAAGATACATGAGGCTTCATGTCACTGGTTTCATTATAACCATTTCAAGTGGAATCTTGATTAGCACTTCTGTCTCTGGTAAAAACCATAAAAATGTTGGTTTACCCCCCAGCTCTTGTGTGTGCTTGACAAATATCCTATGGTTAACTTGACATAGATTAAAAAGCAAACAGTTTTCATATCTACAGATACAGTCTTCACCTATGGCTTTTACCCCAAACCCCCCTCCCCCCCCCTCTGTATATAAAAAACAGCCTTGCAACTAAGTGGCAGGAATTGTAGTATTTTCTGATTTCTTTGTCTTACCTGTTTGACACCTGCCCTGAGGGTAAACAGGATACTTGAACTGTCAAATATTCTAAAGTTGTTATCGCTGGTAACATCGGAAGAGAAGCTGAGCACAAATTCCAAAAAAACATTTCTCCTTTGAATTAGGTACTCTGTGGCTTTACTAGGAAAAAAGTTTCCCATTCCCATCCTAGAAGATGACTGTTCCCTTTCATGTTAGGAGTTCCATAAAGTAAGGTGACCAGATCTTTCCAATCTTCCCCAAAATCGGGACTGTCCCGCCAAAAGCGGGACACCTTACCATAAAGTAAAAGCTTTTCCTCTGAAAGAATTTCAATGCCAGTTCCTCTTAACAAAATAGGCCGAAAACATGTCCTTGAGGACGGGAAAGGTAAAAGGAGTCCCGGGCCTCGGGGGGCCCCGGGAGGTGTCACTAGGCGTTCATTGCATAAACTGAAGAACTTCAGGTGAGCCTTTGATGTGCTTGATCCTCTCTTGTGCCTTAGTTTCTCCAAATGGCAGAGGCATCTCATTTTGGTGGGGACTGACAAGTATGGGGGCTCCATTGAGAGCAGCCTCCTGAGGATAGGGGCACACATGGGGTGGCCTGAGGCTCACCGTTCGTGTTCATTCAGAATCGTCCTGCACCAAGTCATTTGGTGAAACTAACTGAAGAGAGAAGGTCTTCAGAAATCAATTCATGCTGGGGCTGGGGGTGGGAGGGTACAAGTAAATGGAAGATGATCCTTGCGTGCAGAGATAATGGGTAGAGAGATAATGGAGTGTGCTTTAGCATCCTCCCCAGTCCCCCGAGCTTGACTGCTCAGAACTGGGACCATCGGGGCCAGCAGGATTAGAGGGCCCTGCAGGGCCTGCTACTCTAAAGCAGCTGAGGGCAATGTGTGAACATGGGGGCCTAGGGCAGGACATGTAGCAGGCAAGGGTGTGGGGCCGGTGATGGGCAGAATTTATAAAAGGATTCAAGACTCTAGCAAACCTTCCTACAGGACAACTCCATCAAAAGGACACTCTTAAACCCGTTTAAATGTCACTGCAGGTAATCCTGCGGCATACAGGGAGGGTTTCTGGACTTTTTACTGCTAGTGATTTGGGTTTGCAGCGAGTTATGTATTGGTGATTGGTAACCTAAACCCTCTGGGGACTGTAGCTGATACGTTTTAGGACACAATCTCATAGAATTAAATCTGCAGAGAGAATGGCTCAAGGGTGAAGGAGTTAGAAAATATTTTTTGCCTAAAACTAAGCAAACTACGGAAGACCTGGAATGGAGGCACGTGAAATATAAAATTAGGGTAATACTTATAGAAATACATCCCTTTAAATATGTACTGTATGGTTTCATTAGCTGACTTGAGGAGGGGGCATCATGGGATTTTTTTTTCCTGGGAAATTCACGTCTAATGGGAAATATGCTGTTTACCAGGAGTTT